CAAAGGCTTAAGTTGTTAAATCTGAAAGAAAAAGAAAATGATCATTAGACGATTAAACTAAATTCACATTTAAAATAGGGTTCAAGTTATTGGAACACCCTTTATTTGTACTCCCACCGTAATATTGATGGCATGATGCTCTTTCACTTAATGATAATCATAATAATATGAAGACGATAGAGTGAGTCAATATCTGCACTGGAAAATATGCAAATTTGACGGGATCTAAACTGTAAGAAACTAGTATGAACATTGCCCGGACCCGGTTTCAGAGACAGGACCTGTAACAATTTTATAGGATTGTACAATACACATAGACAGAACAATGAAAGCCAATCGCCCAGACATCGTGATCAAAACCGCAAAACCAGAATGTGCTTTCTTGTTGACATGGCAGTTCCTGCAGATTGTAATGTATCTTTGAAGATCTGATAAAAAAAAACATCAAAATGCAATGTTCTTGAAATGGAAATCTCAAAAATGAGGACATCAATAGTTTCAGGTGTAGTTGGAGCCCTCAGATCAATTGGAAAAAGTTCCAATAGACTCATTGAATGGGTTGCTGATAGCCCATGCCTTAAAGAAATATAAAAAATTGTACTCACAACTACAGCTCACACATTGCGAAGAGCTTTATCTATGTAAAATGTGTGAGAACTTAGGTTGTTTACCAAAATTATCTGTAGAAAATGTCATGAAGCCATTTCTGACCTTAGGTTGCTGGTTGGGACCTGGTAGGAAATGTGTATACAACAAAAATCGAAGAAAATAATAATAATAATAATAATAATAATAATAATAATAATAATAAAAATACAGTGGCTGAGGAGTACTGGGTTGAAAGCTGAGACAGAAGGCCTAATTATTGCAGCTCAGGACGAAAGCCTCGCAACCAGATCTTATCGCTGTCACATAATCAAGGATGGAACTAAACAGAAATGCATGATCCGCGGAAAATATGATAAAACTGTCGACCATATTATCTCAGGATGTCCTGAACTAACAAAAAATGAATATACCCACAGACATAACAAGGTAGCGACATATGTTCACTGGAATATACGCCAAATGCACAAAATCGAAACCACTGAGAGATAGTATGAGCTCTAAGCAGACACAGTTACCCAAAATAACGATGTAACTATCCTCTGGGACATGCCAATTCAAACTGACAGGGAAATAAAAGCCAACAGACCTGATATTAAAATAAAAGACAAGATATTCAGGAAGTATATGCTTATTGACATAGAAGTACCATCTGTGAGAAACACATCCATGAAAATTATCGAGAAATTGTCCAAATACAAGGATCTGGAGATCGAGATTAACAGGATGTGGGGAATAAAGGCTGAGACTGTATCAATAGTAATCGGAGCTCTGGGCCTCGTGAGAAAAGGGATGGACAATTTTACTAACAGTGTCCCAGTTTATATCAACAGACAGGTTGCGCAGAAGATCGCCCTACTAGGAACATCATATATACTAAGAAATGTGCTATCAGCTAAATGACACTTATCCTATAGGACTTAAGGGCCATAGTTTGGGTCTGACTCTACAGCATACAAAGCAGGAAACATAAAATACACAAATAATAATAATAATCGCCCTGATAAACAATCAAAGCTAATCGCCCTGACATCGTGATTAGAGACCGCCAAAGACAAAATGTACCTCCTTATTGACATGGCAGTCCCTGCAGACTGCAATGTATTCTTGAAGATCTCCAAAACACTATCAAAATACAAGGACCGTGAAATCGAAATCTCAAAAATGTGGCGCATAAGGACATTAACAATTCCAGTTGTAGTTGGAGCCCTCGGATTGATTGGAAAAGATTCCAATAGACTCACTGAAGGAATTCCTGGTAGCCATGCCTTAACGAAATATAAAAAATTGTACTCACAAGTACAGACCACACCTTACGAAGAACTTTATCTATGTAAAATATGTGTGATTTTTTTTCAAAACTGCTCAGTGAAAAATGTCTTAATGCCATTTCTGACCTTAATCTCTAGTTGAGACCAGCACAGAAATGAGTATATTGGGATAGACAGAATTCTAGTGAAAGTTTTGACGATGTAAAGCGGTGAATAAGTAACAGAATTCAAGTTCATTTTTTATAACCCGCTCCTGATCGTTAAATTACGAGATAGGATCTGCTTACTGAAATGTCGTTAATAGTAGTGAAGTAGTGGATAAAATTTAGATATTTACATTATAAGCTTTGAAGTCTACAAAATAAACTGAAAATAGTTTTCATACTTTCTGTTATTTATGCGTCATCAAAATGTCAGAATTCCTTTCCCAATAGAAAACAAAGATTTGTTGCGTGTATTACAGACTGGAATTTTTATTATTCCCTTTGAGACGTAGGCGATCATGGCTCTTCACAATTCCCTGTCCTTTGTAATTCTTAGTAAAGTTTGTGTTTTATGAGATTTCTCCTCATCCCTGTTCTGTCATCCACGATATTCTTAGGTACGTTATTCGTTTTTTTTTCCTCTGGCCCGCTTGCCTTCAATAATGTCCTGTGAGTGTCAAATTTTCCATATCTTCTTTCCTCATTATGCGCCCAAGAAATTCCAACTGTCTCCTTCTGATGCTAAGTATAAGTGTTCTTTCCCTTTTCATTTTCTCTAAAATTTCCTTGTTGCTCACATCCATGCTCACAGAATGGCATTCTCAGCATCCTTCTGTAGAATGACATGCCTGTTGCCTCAAGTCTTTTCTTCATCTGTGATAAATTGTCCAACATTAACTGCTATATAGGAGAACTGATATTATATAGCAGTTCAGCAGACTTTTCTTTGTGTCTAACGAAATTTTCCTGATTCTTAATATTTGCTCAGCTTTTGAAAGGCATCTTTTGCTGTTCCAATGCATCTTCGGATTTTCGTGTCGCTCTTTTCGTACCCCGATAAAACACTTTCTAGATATTTAAATTTTTGTATTTGCTGGATTTTGATATATCCAATTTGCAAAATTTGTATGTTGGACTGTTTCTTTTGCTGAGAAACCTAGATTCTATCTTCTACAACTGGTGTTTAGTCCTTTCTTCTCGCTTTCATTTACCACTTTCTGTAACAGTTCCTATAGTTTCCTTTCTATGTCTGCTATCAACACTGTGTTATCTGTATATCTAATATTGTTGCCACGAATAACGAAGCCTGGTCAGTCAGTCAGTTAAGTGCCATACGTAATACATGCTTGGGCGATCATGTCTCTTTCATGACTGACTTCGAAGAAAATTTTTCCGCAGGTTGGCATTTCTTTCTACAGTTGCCAACCCAGTCCGCCATGCTTCAACTTACTACTTTCAAACTCGACTGGAATTCGAACTCGGCTCTCCGATTTCTCATTCTGAGCCGATATCTATTGCACATCCTTGTCGGACTTCAGGATTGCTTCACTGTAAAAGTGCCATGCGATCATGTTTCTTTCGATTCATGACTGACTACGCAGCTACCAATCTCTGGTCATCTAGAGTTTTCAGATGCACACACATACCGTTGTCTCATCAACATAGACATTCACAAATGATAGGAGTATATTCTTAGATCATTTATCGAAAGTAAAAAAAAAGGGTTAATCCGAGAAGCAAACGATAGCTGGGGAAAGAAGAGATGTATCTATACCTTGCCACTTGTGCGTAAGTGAATATAACGAAATCGGCTGAAACTCGAACTCGGCTCTCCGTGTTCTCATCCCGAGTCGATATCCGTTATACCACAACGCACAGCCTTGTAGCTCTTCGGGATTTCTTCACTGTACAGATTGAATAAGTCTGGTGAGAAAACACGTGTCGATGTAGAAACAAAAAAGATAGTTTATGGAACATAATATAATCGAACATTTATAATATTCGTGAAATTACAACATCAAAATTTTCATGTTTTCTTATTAACTAATTGTTCTATTCTAATGTTCCAGTTATCCAGTGGGAAAAAGTACTTAATATTAATCCAGACAAAAACAAAGTCACAGTTTCACCTGTGGTATTCTTTCTTCTAGATTAGATCACTCAACAAAAGCAATATTGTTGGGGGGGGTGACGGTTTGTATATTTTGTTATTAATCAATTTGTTGTTTGTTTTGTTTTTTTTATTTTTGTTAACTTTTCTTTTTTCATGGTCACGATCCGTCGATTTGATCACAGGTGTCAGAAAGCGTAAACATTTTCTAGTAGAAAAAAAAACATTGGTAATAAATAACGTTGGTCATAAAAATAAAATAACATTGGTAATAAATAACATTGGTCATAAAAATAACATTGGTAGTAAAAAACATTGGTAATGTATAATGTCTGGTAAAAAGACGTTACACTGCATTATGCACTTCACTTTACTACAGCCAATTTTGCAGAAAAATAGCTTTCTCAACTCTAGTAACTGTTGTTGCTCTTTCAAGTATTGAGGGGGGGTTCCTTCCTTGCCTTTTGTTTGAAGTGGTGTGGAACATCAACATCTCTTTTATGTCATTATTTTTACTTTTCAGGTTACATGTACTAGCCATTTTTAGTTGTTGCTGCTGTTGGTAGTGATGTGGTTTCAGTTAATTGGTAAAGTTCTTTGTTTACGATTCTTTAGCGCCAATCCACTAATAAGCTAATATTGTCAGCACCATTCTATGTTCAATTTTCTTTTCTCCTATACTAAATTTGTTATAACTTATTCTTTCACTGTGATGTTTGAAGTGTTTAGTAATTACTAATTTCACATCCTAAATTTCTATAAATGCCAATAGCGATACCTACACTGACTTCTTAAAATTTACAAGGAAAACGAAAAGGAATTTCGATTGACGACTATAATGACGACAATAGCGTTTGTTTTGTTTTGTTTTAAAAAAAAAAGATAATCATATACACAACGACATCGATAGGTGCAAGAAAATGCTTTATGACAATGCTGTGTGAGAAACAAATGTTATCAAAAATAAACCTAAACGTTTACGTATTTCACAAAGATAAATTGGTATTGAGCACCTTCTAGTTAGGGATTTGCAACCACAACCAATTTGAAACAGCAGTTCCCGTACAATTACCAAAGTTAAGCAACGTAGAGCCTGGTCAGTACCTAGATGGGTGACCTCTTGGGGTTACTAGGTGCTGTAAGTTTCAAATTTGTGGATGGTGTAATAGATAATAGCACGGAATTGTTAATCGAAAAGCCGAGTTCTAATTCCAGTTGTGCTTGTTATATTCTCTTATTCGCAAATAGCCTTGGAAAAGGTATAAACCCACTTTTTCTCCCTATATCTATGGGTTAAATAGTAATTAATCACTAAAACATTATTATCTCAAAAAAAAAAAATTCTTACAATCTAAAAATATTTTCTGTCTTTAAATAACTTACAAAAAGTTAAGCCCTAAAAAAAACGAATCAACCAAACGAAATGAAACCTTCTTGTTAAATTTTGAAAACGGCAATAAAAACATTAAAAAAATTTTAAAAAAAGGAAAAAAGAATTTGACAACTTATATGAACCCGCGCTCTTTTCCTTTCTTTATAACAGATTCTTTGATTTATAATTAATTCTATTAAACTTAAAACTTGTCGATGTCTACTTTTCCTTTTTTCTACAAAAGTTCACTCGATACAGGGCTCGAGAGCTACTCAATGTAGAGTGATACTGTTAAAATGAATATGATAAATGCGGTGTGTAATATAACTGAAAGAGTGGGAAGTAAAGATTATGAGGATAAGGAGGATAGATAATGATTAATCTTTGATTTGATTGTGGTGTTCAGGGAAGCATGCCCGCAAGAAAGTGTTCTACAAAGTAGCAATTCTTTTCGAAAACTGAGTGTAATTTTTTTCTTTATATTAAGAATATGGGGGAAATGAGGATGATTCGACTCCGTGGATGCAGCATGGCGTGTCGTAGCTGGAAAGGTCTGAACAAGTGGAACTAAAGAATGAAGCTCATCTGAACATTTTCCATGGAAATATCGAGTAGCTATAGGCTTGCGAAGTTAAATCTGTTGGAACTAGTTTGCAGAGAGATGAATAGGTCAAGACTTCCTAGACGATTTCGGACTTAGTCAAAGCTGAAAAGTTCCAGTTCAAATATGGCAGCAATATTCCATTTTTGGTCTGATCCAGTGTTTACCAATGTACTTGCTATCGCCCCCTTGTGGGCTCCGTTAAATTGAAAGGGGCCACGGGGAGTTCTTGTTCCATTTAGGGGACGGTGAACATACTCGGCGTGCGGGGGAGGGCGTGTGCATTTACCTTCCTTTTTTTGAATTTTTAAAAATTATTCAATATTGGCTACAAAAGAAAATTTCTGAAAGGCATCTAAAGCTGCAGGAAGCTATTAATCTTTTCTTCATTGCTTTTCCAATTTCCTTTATGGCTGAATGTAATTTCAACGCATTTATACGCTTTCTTACTAAACAAAGAAACCGCCTGCAAACGAGATTTAAGATTACTTCTAAGCAGCATGACACCTAGAATAAGAACCTTGGCCACTTAAGCACCAAAGTCAACCATCGCATTGAAAACATTGAGATAAGCTATCAAATAAAAATAAAAATAAAAGATTTTAGCATTTTAATCATGAGCATTTATTATAGAAATGAAAATAATATAAAAAAATATTTTTGCACTCATACCTAAGTGTTATCTTGCTATGAAAGATGAATTCAGTATAATATTCGAAATTTAATTTAACAGTGGGGCACTGAGAAAAAGTTTGTGCCTAAAGGGGACGATGATTGAAAAAAGGTCAGGAAACCCTGGTTTAATCAGACACTTAAGATTAAATTCTCACGCGATAAAAATACTGAATTGTATTGAAGAACAACTTACCAAATCATTCTTAGAGATTTACTAGCAATTTCATAAACTAGTTCCTGGTGCCCAATGACGTCTCTTTAACTATTATTTCTTTCCTACTTCCATCACAGAGACAGTGTCTCATTTTACCCCCAATTTGTAAGCCTTCAGTGTTTTTCAAGGACACGTCTATCCCTTTGCACCACTAACGAAAAATAATCCACCTTTGAATGATTATAGAGTTTTATAAATTTAAAAAAAAATTTTCATCAAGCAAGGAGTTACTGGGAGTGAAAGGGAGTGAGAAGACTAGTGTCGAGAAAGACAATAAAAGCACAAATATCAGGAAAATTGACGTTGCATTTAAGCTTTCGAAGATTGTAAGTAAGAAACTGGAAGAGAAAAGAAACCATTAGAATAAAACTTACGGTTACATCTAGCTAGTTCAGCAGTAAAACGATGAGACCTAACTGCCAATCTAGTAGTAAGTCTACTTTTGCTAAATCCCTCTGAGAGTCTCTCACGTCGAAATGAGGAATTACATCTCGAGGAGAGTCTGCTACCAGCCACATTGCCACGTGACACATCACTTGTCGCTTGATATGTGCATAAATTATAGCTGCGGCAAGGCAAATAATCAACACGGTACTTCCAAATTTCTAGATGATCAAAACCTGACAACTGATCTCACTTATGATCTTTCTCGCACAATTCGATTGCGGTGGGTGGGGGGACTGGCTTGTATCATTTAATATGTACAAAACTACGTTTCATCATTACATAGCAAACCCTGAATTTTTTTCAGTCATGATAGGCGGTTGTACTCAATGAGGCTCGGGGACACAAGCTCTTTCCAAACCAGATAGATAGATAGATAAATAGATAGATAGATAGATAGATAGATAGATAGATAGATAGATAGATAGAAGACTCAGGGATATATATATATATATATATATATATATATATATATATATATATATATAGAGAGAGAGAGAGAGAGAGAGGAGAGAGGACAGAGACAAACAGAAATAGAGGTAAGGAGATAAACATAGATAGATAGATAGATAGATAGATAGATAGATAGATAGATAGATAGATAGATCAATTAAATAAGTGCGAACATTTTTATAAATTCTTTTTTTAGTGTGGTTCATCCTTTACAAGGCCTGGGAGCCACTCGAGGTAGATGGTTACAGCGTAAGATTGATTGATTGATTTGATTGTTTAACGGCATATAAGCTCCTTATGGATCATTTAATACCGAAATTTAATGTTATTTAGAGCTTTGAAGTAATAAAAAGATGATATACTGTTTTCACAATTGAATACATGATACATGATACTCAGCTTTTGTGCATATACATGTTTGTGTGGATATAATTACTAGAGGCGATGATATGTGTGTTTTATGTTGTTGTTTGTTGAAGTTATATTTTGGAATACAGTTTGAATTGTAGAATATTATATGGATTAATGTCATGAAAAAGTTCTTTCATTTTGGTTGATGTATTGTTGGTAATTTTTATATAAAAATTTATTACAGGTATTTTTACTGTAAAAATGTATTTTAATAGTTTCATAGGGTTTTGTTTGGGGGTTCAATATACGCCCATATTTGGTACCCTAACAGGTGCTACCACTCCAGGTGAGAGTGGACCTGGGAACAACAGCAATTAATAGGTAGCACCACGCTCCTTAAAAAACTCCAATCTTCCGATCACAGATAGATAGATAGATAGATAGATAGATAGATAGATAGATAGATAGAGAGGAAAAGACCAAGATAGATAGATAGATAGATATTAACATACTGTTGAAGATAGATAGATAGATAGATAGATAGATAGATAGATAGATAGATAGATAGATAGATAGATAGATAGATAGATACTGTTCGAAGATAGATAGATAGATAGATAGATAGATAGATAGATAGATAGATAGATATTAACATACTGTTGAAGATAGATAGATAGATAGATAGATAGATAGATAGATAGATAGATAGATAGATAGATAGATATTAACATACTGTTGAAGATAGATAGATAGATAGATAGATAGATAGATAGATATGAGCAGACTGAGATAGATAGATAGATAGATAGATAGATAGATAGATAGATAGATAGATAGATATGAGCAGACTGATATAGATAGATAGATAGATAGATAGATAGATAGATAGATAGATAGATAGATAGATAGATAGATAGATAGATACCAGCAATCCAAAATGAAAAGAGAAATAAATATTAGAATTACCAACAAAATGATTTCTTTGATGAATTATTTTCTATGTAAACAACTTGGGTGTAATCAAAGCACTGAAGAAATCGTCTCTAATTTCTCTGGCGAATAAAAACTGATACTCCATGGCTAAACATTGGCTAATATCGTGCAATTATGATAAACTTACGACTCAGCATGAAGCAAGAAACATCTCCAGGTGCAAAAAACTTTCTGAATGCTCTATGACGTTTAAGGTCCGCATTTCAGTTGATTTGTATGTGTAGGTTAATATCTTTGTGAAAAGCGGAAATCTATCCGCGCATGCGTATGTGTATGGGTTAACCGAACGCCATTCAAAGCTTCGTGTTTCAGCGTTTATTTTAATATATACGCGCTGAAGTACCCGTTTAATACGGGTAAGAATCCAAGACTATTTATAATGGCAGTAAAACGATTCCTTGCAAAGATTTTTAGCAAATTGCAAAACCATAACACTTGAACACTTTCGACAGCAACAATGACAAAAATAGGTAGCATACTTAACTAGAAAGGAAAATAATGAGAGATGTTGTTCTTCCACACAGCCTTAAGCAAAAGCTTAGGAAGGAAATCCCCAACAATACGTGAGGGAGCGTGACATTGGACTTGAGAAGTTTAATTTCCTGAAAAGCTGTTTTACTATTTTACCATTAATACTGCTTGTGAGTTTGTCAGGGGTTGTCAAACCAAGATACGAAATTAAGGGGATACGCGCTTAAATATCTTGGGGCAAGAAACGACCTGTTAATTTTAAAACGAAACTGCTCTCTTTTAATTGTCTGAGAGAACCCTTTTTGCCTTTCATCAATATGGCTGATGCTAACCTCTAGGAGAGTGACTCATTGCACTTTCTCAGGCTAGCATTTTCCACTAACATGAAGTGGAAAGATTATACTGAATCAATTGTTTGGTCTGCTACTAGGAAAGTCGGTTCATTGCGTTCACTTTGAATATTGCTGCCACCATCTTGTCTGGTGCTTCTGTAATGTATTTAGTGATTCTGGATAATATCTAAAGAAGGATCTGCAATGTTATTGGTCCTGACCTGGCATCTCGGGTT